CTATTGTCAAAAGAGGAAAAAAGTAACTCCACAAGGTTTATGTCGCCGTCCAGGGTAGTAATGCCATACCGGAAGGGAATGGTACCGATTGCGTTTCAGTGTAAGTCGGTAACACGGCGGGTTTACTGAATCATTTCTATGCTTCAGCATTGTTGCCTACATTTTGAGTTTACAACGTGGCTTTGATGTGGACCGAGGCTGAGGCAGTAATGAGGTAAAGTTTCAGTCTGGAATGGAAAGCAGTTTAGTTTCTGTCAATGCTGCTATCCAGTGGTTGGGGGATCTGGGCTCAGATGGAACAATGAGCGACAAGAGAGTTGCGGCGACTAATTACACAAGACACGAGAGGAGAGGAGACATCGAAAGTTGACAGCAGTGACTCCCGTCAATTACGAAGAAGCATCCGACTAGGATTTCAAGAATTTAATGTTGACTTACTTTCGTACTTTGCTTCCTGCTGCTTCATCTGCATTCGCAGAACTTCCCTTGCCGTCTTTGTGAGACGAAGATTCAGATACGCTATTTCTTCGCAGAAGATTTTATCTTTCGTAAATAAGTCCTCCATCATTAAATCTCCTGTACTGCTTGGACAGATCCTACGGATGCAGATTGGAACGGATCGCAGCGCGCGACTGTACGTAATGGATAGTTACACCCAGGGTAACAAATTTGCATAATCCCATTATTAACATAGACTTAATGTGTATGCGTTACAACGCTTTTAGAGACAGTGCACTGCTTTAAACTGAATAATTACGAATGTTGTTATACGAAATAGGATTACAGATTACAGTGGCACGAGATGACGAATGTAATCCTCCACTTTGAGAAATAATTCACTATGCTGGAATTCCGGTTCACGTGAAATGGGTTTGAAGAATGTTATTTTCTTCCCTTCCACAGACACCGTCCGGCAGCTTTTATCTGAGTATTAGTTGATCTCACCAAGGCGGCCATGGCACAGTGGCATGTGGAGGTCTTTTAACGTTGCATGTGCCAGCCAAATTCGAATCACAAAAATGTCCTCTCAATTGAAATTCCCTTGAGCAACGATTTAACTCAACGTTGTTTCGGTCTAGCAATGAATGGCAAATCGTTGATTTGCGAACAACGGAGACGGCATATACTCATTACAGAATGAAAAGAGACTCGGTCGTATTGTCTGGTGTCAACTCCTCCTAAGGCTACAATTAGTATTGAACAATCTGATTTTTGCTTATCAATCAACCAATCAATTTCAAACACCGCTTGTCATTTTGGGTCGTGAAGGCAGATGCGTCAAACAATGCTTCCAACGGCTCCCGATCCTGTGCCAGCGTTTGAGCGTCGACAGAAGGCAGTCGGAGTCTAAAGCAGAGTCCTTCGATACATTTGCCCAAGTATAATTTAAAGCAGGGTCTTTTGTCGGTCGGCTAAGCAAGAAGCAGTTGCTTAACTTTCCATTCTGGAGGCATTCGCAACACACCGCCGATCTATCACAGCCGTGACTTCTCAATCTGGAGTAGCAGGGGCTGCACCAAAGATCTCCCTGATTTCTGTACTCCAGATCATATCGAGACGCGTAAGGCCATCGACTCCTGTCAGAAAGCCGATTTCAGCCACATGTACCCGTGCTCGAAGTTTTTCAGTTATGGACCACTACTCATGACTGCAAATGAACATGGGGACGAAGGTCGATTTCAGCATATAAACAATCTTCAGGCTCAGCTCTGGCTAGTTCAAGAAGAACTGGGCTAGTTCACGCAGAACGTCGATAAGTTTATTCCTGCCATTTACCATTATCATTACCTTTCCATCTGTTCAACTGCTTCTCTGTTTACCTGATGATCGCAATTGGGAGAACGAGAAAGCATTAGAGTATTCTTTTAGGACACGTTCACCTATATACCCGCACTGGATGCTCACTGAACGTAATTATCTGTAAAATGTGCAATCCCTGTTGCCATTGTTGCAGTCACATTAGCAAAATTTCAGATGTTTAGAAATTGGAATAGTATAACACTGGTAAGCCAATGCTTAACGACACGCTGATCATTCTGGGTTTGTTGCCCTATCCTGGGAAATTATTACGATTTTGGCGACATTCATGCCGCGGGTGGTGGTCAATCGACTCCGCGATAACGTAGCTATAAACAAGGGCTGCTTCCTCTCAAAACCAGCTGCAACAGAACTCGTAACAGTTGTGTCGACTCTTTTGACGGTCCCATGGCTTGGTGCGCAAATAATTGACTCATTGCCAGTCAGTTAAATGTACCGCCATCTGGACAACCACCAACTGACTCTGCAGTTGCATAGCGACTTGTTTATTTCTTAATAGAAACAGATACCAGTTTGCGGAAGCAAGTGAATTCTTGCGTAATGAAAAACTTCTTCTAGTCTTTCATACCACTAACTGTTCAATCACAGTGGTATAGCTTCAATTCGTCTACGGCGCGCAACCTTCAGAGTACAAAACAATTTCAAAATGTATGCTATTTTAAAGTGCGAAATAGATTTTCTTTTTTTACACTGTGCATTTTCGCCGTTTCGCATCATTACTTTTTAATGTGATATCTTTAGCGGAGGAATCGAAAAGTTCCCAATAATATCGGGGTTATATTTTGTCACTCGTTCGCCTACGGATCGTTGCCGTGATTTTTGGTCGAATATACTTCATCCCAGTCTGAGGTGCGGTCTTGCGTCCTATGCACTGCAGGCGCTTAAACACTTTGGAGCCGTGGTCTGCATAAATGGTCTCCCTAGGTTTCTAGAAGGAAAAGGGCGATGCAATAGTGCTGCCGGTGTAAAATGAGAAATAGGTTTTTATCTATGCTGTGCATTTTCGCCCTCTCAATCTGGTATCATTAATTTCAATGAACCATATCTTGATATTAAAACAAAATAATCGAATTATTGTTTAAAACTTGCAAAGGTTCTTTAGCTCATCGAACTGACGTTAATCGTTCGAAATATTGTTTATTAAAAATTAATTATTCATTTAATAAAAGTTACCGTCCTGAACAGCCATGATCAGCCTAAATTTGCACAGCTATGAAAGACATACTAAAAATTTATACACGGCAAATTCCTGGTCTCATGTGATCAACTTTATGTTGGATATCCAGTCTTCGTCAGCCAAGTAACGTAACTTCGCTATGTTCCCTTATTTTTATAAGTATAAATAGTCCGCTATTACG